ACACATGAGAGCATACTACAGCTGCTGCTGTTCCCTGAAGACTCCGCCAGTGTCACCTGGAAGGTGTATACGAACACAAGACCGGAGCAGAGCCCTTTGTCTTCTCTCTAGAGGTACTACTACTACCTGGAAAAGCAGGTAACTGGGGAACTGCAGATTTGCATCTAGAAAGTAACATTATATAGATGACTTAGTATTTGCACCATCAAAGTTCTTTTTGTTGTTGTTGTTCTTGACTCCGGATATTTGCTGTATTGAGGTGGTCTAGAACCCAACTCTCTGGGATATGCTTATACTTGCAGGGTAATTGACTAATGTCTGCTGTCTGAGAATGGGTTTTGGCGGTACTGTGGATCAGATATGCTGCTAACCACAGATGTGCATAAATAATTTTTACATAAAGAGTATTTAAAGCTTTTTGTCAGAGAAAGAAAAGGAATAGAAACATATTACTAAGAAATGTAATCCTTCTACATAGATTTTTCCAAGTAGCAAATATTTCTGAGATACCCAGATTATGCAGGGACTTTTTATAATGCCTCACATTCTGCAAAAGATCGTCCATGTATGTTTTCAAACTGAAACGATCACATTTTAATATTGCTATTCATTTAGAACAAAATCAGCAACATTAGCATCGAGGGTGAGTTTATACATTATCTGAATATTAGTGATACTTCCATCAGGAGAACGTTATTGTTTTGGAGAGACTTGTTAGCTTCAAGTCCGCAGGCTCAAGGGGACCTCCCATGACCTAAATAGAACTACCATGGGGTTTTCAAGGCTTTCATAGGTTTCCTTTTGGAAGCACATGGCTAGGCATAACTCCTGAGGAAATTCTCAGTAGTTCCAAACCACCTACCTTCAGGAGTTAAGAGCGTAACCATTTTCCACCCAGGAGTTGACATTTTAAAAAATGTTAAATCCTCCAAAGTCTTGCCAGAAAAATACTAGCAAGTAATAGTCACTCAACCCTAAAATACAACTAAATCTACTTTTAAGTCACCACGATGTACCATGGGTAATTACCACAGATCCATACATATATTTCAACAAACTATTACAAGAAAATCTAACACAAGTGCTCTTGCTTTACCAGGTAACTAAGTGCCTGCATGCAGAAAACAAAAAATAATGGCGAGAAAGGCAGAGATTTAAGGAGTGAGGTTCTATGTAGAAAAATCAGAATTCATTCCAATGAAACTCCAAAAGTGTCCAAACTCTACTTAGGCAATAACCAAAGCAGATCAAATGGGAGCCAAAATGTTTTCCAGGCTTGAGAAAAGCCAGGTTTCAGCAGTGAGTACGAATAATGCACTACAGTGGTATTTCATTTGTTTGTTTTCCCTTTTCCCAAAGTGAGTACCGGTCTCCTTGAAAATCTGAAGAAAGCTATCGATTTACTACGCCAAAAAAAAGTACACATCCACAATATTTTGGGCAAAATATGGCATTCCTAAACCTTCTGAGTGACTCAACCTAACCCTGGTGGCACAGCAATTAAGTGCTCAGCTGGTAACTCAAAGAGGTTGGACCCTAGCCTGCCTCTCGGCAGGAGAAAAAGGTGGCAGTCTGCTTTTATAACTGCCTTAGAGCAGTTCTACACTGTTCTATAAGATCATCGTGAGTTGGAATCTAACTGCCAGCAAGGAGTTTGGTTTGAAACTTCTGAAATCAAGGTAGAGTCAGAAACTCTGAATTTTAAAAAGTATCATGACAGGGAGGCAAGGAACTTTTAAATTGGGAATAAAAACACCTCAAGAAGAGATGAAGATTGGAGGTCAAGGTTTGGGAGGCAAGTCTGAAGTCACTAATGTTTGCTGAGATCATATTATCTAACAGGATTGTACAAGAGAAATATGATGTGAACCACTCACATAATTTAAAATTTTCTAGCAGCCACATGATAAAAGTTTGGAGAAGCAAGTGAAATGTTAAAGACAGCAAAAATGTTACCATTCTAACATTTACTCTCTATCATATATCAGTTTATTAATCAATAATTTTTAATTTAAGTTTCACAAATCTGTGTATTGTTCACTTACTTATAGCACATTCAGTTTGCCTGGGACTGAGGAGCCTACCCAGGATGTGGGACCTCAATGCAAAAATCAAGACAGTCCCAGACAAATTTGGTCAACCCTAATATCTCAATTTTAATGAGCCACATTTCAAGAGCTGTGTAGTCACAACTAAGGAGGCCTGGTGGTGCTGTCAGGTAAGCATCAGACTACTAATCCCAAAGTCAATAGTTCAAATCTACCAGCTCTCCACAAAAAGAAAGAGGCCGTCTGCTCCCATTAGATTTATAGCCTTGGAAACCATGAGTCAGAATTACTTGATGGCAGTTGTATGGTCACATGTGGCTTGTGACTACAGTACTGGTTAGCACAGCTAACACACTGCCATCAGGTCAATGTTGACTCATAGCGACCCTAAAAGACAGGGTAGAACTGCCCCAGGAAGTTTCTCAGACTGTCATTCTTTACAGGAGTAGAAAGACCTTTCTCCTGCGTAGGGGCTGGTGGTTTTGATTATCACTAGAACGTACACTTGTGTACAATTCCAAGTATAATGGTTAAAATAGCAAAGTTTATGTTGCATACATTTTACCATAATTTAAAGTTAATGAAACAGGGTGCCATTTAATGGGCTAGGAAATAGCAAGTGGATGGATAGAATTACTCAGTCAAATGATGAAAAACAAAAATTTAATTGAAACTTGTGAAATCCAGAAAAATCTGGTTGAATTCTGGCTCTCACAGATTTCACTGTATTGGAGTTTTCCTTCTCTGAAGGCTTTTGCAGTTTTGCTGCATGCTTATGTACCAAACCCACTGCCAGGTCAATTCCAACTCACAGAAACCCTCTAGGACAGGGTAGAATTGCTTCACAGGGTTTCCTATGCTCAGTCAGAACCCACTCAAGGGCAGTAGGTTGAGCTGGTTAATGTTTACAGAGATCAATAGGTCGCTTCTCCCCAGCAGCTGGCAGATTCAAAATGCTGACCTTTTAGTTAGCAGCCAAGCACTTAACTGCTGCAGAACCAAGGCTCCTTAATAAGGGAACTAAAGCAAAATACACCAAACCCAATGCCATTGAGTTGATCTTGACACTCAGTGAACCTATAGGACAAAGGATAATTAACCCCCTCAGGTTTCCAAGGCTGTAAAACTTGACAGAAGCAGACTGTCTATGGAACATTGCAGTGTACAGTCAAGTGCTTTAACCACTGCTCCTATATATTTATGTCAAATAAACCAAACCCACTGTTGAGTTGATTCTGACTTACATCAACCATATAGGACAGAGTAGAATGCTCCATCAGGTTTCCTAGATTAAAACCCTCTACAGAAGCAGTCTCATCTTTCTCCTCTGCCTGCTGGTGGGCTTGAACTGCCTATCTTTCCATCAACAGTCCAATGTTAATGAAGTTCATGCTATGACATGAATGGATGAACAATAAAAACCAGGTCACATAAGCCAGACATAAAAGGACAGAGCTAAAATTATGACCACACAATTTGTAGAAGGCTATGGAGGGCACTGGGAGCCCAAAACCCATCTGCAGCATATCTAGTCGGATGGAGCAGCTGGCAGGTCTGCTCTAGCTAAAGGCAAGAGTCCCGATCAGCCTTACTGATCAGGCAAAGATCATTATAATCTTGATTTAGCTGGATCTAACACAACACTTGGGCAGTTGACCTCCCTATAGACACGATTTCAATTTGTTCTGGGTGTAAGTAACTTAGTTGTTCCCTGACAGAAATTTCTTCACTGGCTTTTTGAATGATGATGGGGTCTTTTCCCTCTCACACATTATTTTTGTTTTTGTCTTTATACTAATATGATCTTATCCTTACCAACTTTGTGTGATTTGTTTATTGTTTTCTGCTGGGTTTCCCAGCTGTTATGCACAGGAGCAGATGTATAATGATAATACAAGGTGTTAAAGGGAATGCAGGAGTGTGGGATGGGCGATGGGGAGGGACAGGGGATTTCAGGAGTAAATAATGAAGGTGGGAGGTGAGAGGGAGCAAAAGAACTGATCGTGATTGCACAACTCATATTAAAGGCAATTTAACTATGGGGGCTTTGCAATGCTCAAAGACAGACGTGGTGATGATTGTATAATACCCCTTGATATGACTGAACAATTGAACGACTCAATTGTATGTGCCAATACAACCGTTGGGGGGAAAAAGGGCAAATGTTGTATTATGAAATATCTAGAATAGACAAATGCAGAGACAGAAAGCAAACTAGTGGTTATCGTGGGAGGGGAGAATGGAGAGTTATTACATAATGAGTACAGAGTTCCTGTTTGGGGTGACGAAAACATTTTGGAAACAAATGACTGCAATACTGCGAGTGTGGCAATGTTTATGTTGTGTATATTTTACCACAATATAAAGTTAATGGAATAGGGTGCAGTTTAATGGGGCAGGCAATAGCAAACGGAAGGAATAGAGAATTACTGAAGATGATTTTTAAAAATTTTAATTGAAAAATTTAAAAAAGGCGTGCGGGGGTGGGGTGGGGTGGGGTGGTGTGACGACAAAGTAAACTAAAGGAGAGACCATTAGGGGGGAAGGAGTCCTGGTGGCACAGTGGGTTACTTGCAATGCTAAGCGCCAGGCCGGTAATTCGAAAGCACCAACCAGTCCGCGGGGGGCAACATGAGGCTTTCTACTTCCCATGAAGAGTTAGTCTCGGACACCCACACGGGGCCGTCTACTCGGCCCTACTGGTCACTATAAACTGGAACCGACTGGATGGCAGTGAGCAGAGGTTCAGAGGCTTCTGAAGACCTGACAGTGGATGGGGAACTCGGGCCAAATGATGAAACGCAGCATTCGTCCCCAGGAGAGACAGAACTGAAGGTGGAGGGCCCCGTCAGCGGCTCCAAAGCGGGCCCCGGCCCGGCCCGGTGTCCCCACGAGAGGGAGGCCGCGCCGCCAGCCCGCCCGCTCGCCCGCCGCCGGGCCTGCCCGGTCTACCTGTGCAAGGGCGGCAGCTCCTGCGCGTCGCTGGGCGGGTCGGGCGTGTTGGGGATGACGCCCAGGATGGTGCTCTGCAGCGACGTGCCCTTGAGCAGGCGGCTGCGCACGAGCTGCAGGTTGCGAGCGGAGTCCACGCTGGTGCGCATGGTGGAACCGGGCAGCAGGACGCCCTCGTGCGTGAGCAGCAGGGGGAGGCGGCTGGGAATCTGGATGGGGCTCACCGACGACATGGCGACTGAAGGCCGCACAGAAGACGTCCGAAGGGAGCAGGACGGACCGCTCGGCGCAGGCTCGGCGCAGACACGACGGGCCGGCCCAGCTGTCCGGCGCACCGCCGCTTCCGGCCCACCTCGCCGGCGCACCGCCGCTTCCGGCCCAGCTGTCGGGCCCGCCCCCTGGCTCGTACGTCGCGGTTCCGCGCGGCTCACGGCCTTAGCTCCGCCCCCTCGCGGAGCCACAGGTGGGGCTTGCGTGCCGTAAATATGCAAAAAGAAGCGCCCCAACCCCTCTTCGGACCTTTCCCCCTCCGGGCCTTTTCCGTGAACCTCACCCACAGAAAGACCCACCTCTGTGCTGTATTTGGAAGGACGAATCGTGTTTACATTGAACCTGTTTAAACTTTTATAATTTTTGTTGTTGTTGTTCCAAGGCTTTCCCATCAAATGCATTTGTGATAGTTTTACTGACACACAGTTCACCTATACATTTCAACAGTTCAGTTTCACTAAAAAGAGTTGTGCAATCATTGTCAGAATCCATTTTAGAACATTTTCTTCTTTCTTGTACTAGTTATTAACTCCCCATTTCCCTGTAACCTTCCCTGCCATACCCCTAGGAAAACTATAATCCAATTAGTGTCTGATTGATTGCAGATTTTCAATCACATTGCTAAATAGTGCAGTGCTCCTGTATACTAATATCATCCACTCAGTTTTCCTTCCAACATCTTACATAATCATAGTACAATGATCAAAATCAGGAAAGTTCATCAATAGACCTTAGCCAAATTTTGCCAATTTTCTCACGGGTGGCCTTTTTCTGATCCAGGATGCAATCCTTGATCCCATTTTTCATTTAACTTTGATGTCTCTTTGGTTTCCCTTTTCTGTGACAAATTTTTCTACCTTTTGGTTACCTTTTAAAACTTTGAGGCTGTTGGTCAATTGTTTTGTAGAATGCTTCCTCAATTTGGTTTTAACAGTTTCATTGGCACTTCATCCACATGTCATACAATTCAATAGTATGTATGAAACCATATGAAACAGAGTTGTACAATCTTTACTACATTCAATTTTAGAACATTATTTTCCCTTGTACTCATTGTTATGCATGTGATTTTTCAATTGGGGCAAAAATATATACAACAAAACATTCTCCCATTCAATAACTTCTACATCTATAATTCAGCGCCATTGATTATATCCTTGTTGTACAACTTTTATTGATAGCCCTCTCCAAATGGTTCCACCACCATTAAAATGTACTCAACAACCCCTAAACAAAAACTCTTCCTCCTTCACCCATAGTAACTATAGGTCAAGTTTGGCTTCTCTTCTTTCTTCTTCTTTATTTTTAGTAGTTTCCTTAATATAATAATCACATTTCATACACTTCCACAGTTAAATTGCTTTTAAGAAGAGTTATATATACATCATCACAATCAGTTCTAATGTTCCCTCTTCCCTCCTGAATTCATTGATTGCTTCCCAATTCCCTTCTCTTGTCCTCAATTCTCCTCCCTCTCCCCCACTTCCTGATAAACCACTGCATCAGTTTTTGTCTCCATGCACCCACTCCTTCTGTGCCTCTTGAACTGAGAGACCTAACAGAAAAGTTAAAGACAAAAACAAAACATAATACAAAGAAGAAAATAATGTAAAGATAAAAATAAAGAGTAAGAACAAAAAGACCACAGCAATATTTCAAAAAGCTAAACAAAAATTTTTTTTAAGCCAGAGAAGAAACGTCTGTCTTGGAACAATCTAGAAATATTTGAGCAAAACGCAAATTCAGGTTGGGTCAAGAGAAAGATCAACTGATCAAGTATCATATACTAGGTTCGATCCACCATAATCAAGTTTACAATAATCTCTGCCTAATAGTCAAGCTATTCAAGTCCCTTTTCTGTGACTAGAAAGCATCTACCAGAGGCCTAATCTGACTAGATAGCCTGAAGATGGGCTCAGGGTTCCCACTGTCCTCCACAGCCTTCTACAAACTGGGTGTTCGCAATTTAAGCTCTGAGATTATTGTCCTCTTTGGATTTCACAGGCAACTGTGTTCCTTAGATGTGGACGTAGTTGATGACTTACTTAGATGGCTGCATTTTAAAACCTTTAAGATCCCAGTCACTAGTCCAGCTGATAGCTGGGCCCCATTTGCTTTTTTCATTTCTTCTTTTTTTCTTTAGAAAAAGAAAACAGGCATGTTCTCAAGATGAACTTGAGTTCTACGAGGCTCAAATGAAAGAAAGAGGTGAAGTTAGGGTAAAATAAATAATCTTCAGCGGGTGGAAGCTAAAATCCAGTCAGACATTTTCATCAAACACTTGCCCGTGTCTCACTGACATTTTTCAGAACCAATCAGGCTAAACCTGCTGCCTTCACCACTTTTACTTTTTTCCCCTTCTTTTTTTGTTTTGCCTTCTTTTTTTTCCTCTGCCTCGGGTTCATCCACGCTGGGCACTGATATTCGTTCCTCGGAATATCAGTCTCCATTTTCATGTCATCTTCCCCTTTCTCTTCGTTCACCTCACACTGCAATTTCACTTGGTAGTGTTTGTCTACCACAAAAGTTGCTGTCTCTTAAACATCTTTTATGAGAACATTACCATCTACTTTGAGAATCTTTTTAAGTCTGTTGAGCTCCTTTGGGACATTATTGTTTCTCTTTTCAGCACATATTTTCCTTTTCCACTTTCTCCATAAGCTTGTAGCCATGTTTGACCTGAGCAAGTGTTACTATCTCATGTGCAGCAGGTAGGGCACACCATCTGCTTTCTTCACCACACTTTGCTGTAGCGCCCTTATCTTCAGTGATCTCTTCCTGAAGGCAAGCAGGGCCATGTGATAAGAACGAACTGTTCTTGGATTAGGGCTTGAATTATGTGCGAACACAGAATCCATCTTCTTGTTCTATGGTTATGAACAATTCTGGCTAACTTTGGTAGTCATATTATGACCAAAAGCAAAACTAGAACAACAACAAAACAAACAAAAATGAAAAGCATTGTCAGTCATGCCTTTGGGGTATAAGGTGATTTCAATGATAGCATCAATAACTTACACAATAACATAGAATTTAAGGTATTGTTGATATTAGGAGTTTATGTCAGTATAGTCCAACTGCAAGCTGCAATCCATGAACTGATGCTTTGTACTGATTGATTTCTTAATTGATTGAGCTCTGTTTACAGTGAGCATGGGGGTTGGTGCTACAGGAAATTTTCCTGTATCATTTCTGGAAAAGGCAGACCCTTGACTCTCAGATTAAAACCCGTCATATTAATGCAAGGGGAGCATTGCAGTACTAAATATATGGTGGTTCTGGGTCGCCTTTCATTGGACACCCACTAAGCCAGGTGTCCCACCCAAGGTCCAATGACTGCCATTTCCACAGTCTTGGGATGGCCATTTTTTGACTCCTTTCCCATAAGAGTATTTCAGTTATATATCCAAGGATATAGGTAGTTGTATTAGTCTGGGTACTGGCACTGTCAGAGGTCTCCACACGGCTGCTCCAGCACCCAGGACTGCATCGGGGTAGGTCCATGCGGCTTCACTTTGGGGATGTCTTGCAGGAAGTCAGCCTTGCAAGCTGAAGCAGGGAACTGCTAAGGCAGCTGCACCCTGGTCCGACTATCAGAAAGCGAGAGACCAGAGAACTAGAAAGGCGAGGCTCACTGAGTCATTTACCCCTCCGCCCTTCAATTAACCCCACATGTGCTTATGGGCCAGGTTGGCACAGTAAACTAACTACCTCAGTAGTTTGGAGGCAGGGCCGAGATTGTTAAGTCAGGCTTCCACATTGAGTCCTTTGGTGCGGCCCTTGGTGGGCTGATGTGTTTTTATTATTAGATTAGCACGCTTACTTTTGGCAAGAATATCACAGAAGTGATACTGTGCTCTTTTTTGTAATACATGCAAGTGAGGGATCGTATTGTTGGAACTCTGATGGTGACGTGGGTTATCCATCAGGCTGCTAACCCCAAAGGCAGCCGTTGGGCTCTGCCAGCTACTCCTTAGGAGAGAGGTGAAGCTTTCTGTAAAGATTCCAGCCTTGGAAGCTCGCGGGAGCAGTTCTACTCTGTCCTATAGGATCAACCGGAGTCAAAATCCACTTGTAACTTTTTTGGTTTGGTCTCTAAAAATTTCGATTCCTTGGTGAAGTTGATGTCTGTTGGGTTTTTCCACTGAAGGGCACTATTCAGGTCTTTGTAAATAGTATGAATCTCCTGGGGAGAGACTTTTACACTTATTAATTAGAATCATGCTGTAAGAAATAGCTGTCTCCTTTATTTACTTACTTATGCATGCTAGTATGGATTCATGGGTATATGCTTTTTCTATGATATTACTATGTATTTTGATGCTCAAATTATTTTCATTTTGACTATTGAGAGCTCCTTCATGCTGGAATTTGATTTGGGTTTGGCCATGAGGGGGACAATCTTACCTGACACGAGAGCCAGTTAAGGTCTCAGAATCCAAGAGGAACTGAAAATCCATTCAGGTCAATAAATCTGCATTGAGAGACTAAGTGCCAGGCTCTGAGGCGAAAGCTGAAGGATAAAGAAGGGAACAAGGCTTAAGTATGTCTCAGCTAGAGGAACAGACCTATAACACATGAGTGTAATATGGGACTGATGCACAATTCTATGTGTACAATAGGTAATGGGAGGCAGAAGGCAGGTGTACTAGGGGCTGGGGTGAAGGCACAAAAGGACTTTGGAAGCTTCTGCCTAAATGATCTATCTCTTTATCTGGCATGATTCCACTTTCTTTCACTTATTCACTGAATATATATTTAAAAATATCTGCTATGTGCTAATATTCTAATGGAGAAAACAAACAATAAACCAAATCAAACCCACTTCCCCTGAATCCATTTCAGGCCACAGCAACACTAGAGGCAAAGTAGAAGTGCTCCATAACTTTCTGAGACGGAAAATCTTTTTTTTCATTAAAAAAAAAAATCATTTTATTAGGGGCTCATACAACTCTTATCACAATTCATACACACATCAATTGTGTAAAGCGCATTTGTACATTCATTGCTCTCATCATTCTCAAAACATTTTCTCT